ATCTGAACCGATTTTCCCGAAATTTAGCACACATCATTGTCGACTTAATTCAGTACGCTCTGCAAAAATTCGTGCAAATCGAAATATATATAGGGAATTTGGTACACCATTTACCTTAAATCGGACGTAAATATATATGGGAGCTATATCTAAATCTGAACCGATTTTTCCCAATTTCAATTGGGTTCGTCCTTGGGCCATACAAATGAGCTGTGCTAAATTTCATCCAATTCGAACCACATATGCGACCTGTAGTATGTTTACAATTTTATGTTGGACAGACAGACGGACGGACGCACGTGCATAAACTCAAAAAGTGATTCTTTACCTATTCTCAAAATGAACCATGGGTCTATCTCGATTATTTTTGCCTGTTACAAACATATGCACAAATACATAATACCCTGTACCGCAGTGTGGTGTAGGGTATAAACATGTGAACTCAAACGTCTGGCACATTTTTTATAGAAAAACTTGCACCCAAGTGTCTATAGAAAAAACTTGAACACAAGGACTTGATATTTTTTTTTGGCCCCAACGGTCTGACGATTTTTTTCTATAGAAAAAAATTTTTTTGTCTGAATTTTTTTATAGAAAAAACTTGCACCCAAAGATTTGACAAAATTTTTTCCATAGTAAAACCTTGGTCGCAAGGTTCCGACGAATTTTGTATAGAAAAAACATGTCCCCAATGTCTGACTATTTTTTTTATAGAATAATATTGGAACCAAGGCTTTGGCATTTTTTTCAAGGATTTGGACTTTGTGACTTTTTGTATCTGCGGAAAGAACTTGGGCCCAAAGGTTTGCAGAATTTTTTTCCATAGAAAAACCTTGGTCCCTTTCAGACAAATTTGTTTCTATAGAAAAAATTTTTAATAGAAAAAACTTGGGGCAAATATCTGCAAATTTTTTTCCTATAGAAAAAATTGGACCCAAGTAAAAGGATTTTTTTTCTATAGAAAGAGTTTTATCCAAGGGTCTGACGATTATTGTTTCTACCTAAAAATACTTGGACCTATGAATTACGTCCTATAGGCCTTCTAAAGACATTAGGTCTTCAATACATGAGAAATCCTCTATTGATAGGAGATTTTCGATAAGTACTTTATATATAGAAGGTCTGTTATAGGTATTTTATATATAGGAGAATTCATATAGGCCTACTATTGACAGAAACCCCTCAATATATATTATATAAATAAAAGATCTTCCACAAGTTTTCCTTGGATAGCAGACCTGCATTTTGTTGTGAATTTAACACTTTAATCCAGATATGTATGGATTTATGATATTTCTATATGTTTAATTAAGAATATTATTCAAATTTCTATTTATTTGTCTTACTGCCTTAAATTGCAACTTTGCGCATTCGGGCAAAGTATTGCTCTCAAAGTCAAATCACTGACGTTTGTTGTTTACGCGCCCGCCTTTGCATCAGTCTGTCTAGAAAAATTGTCAAACTACGCTTGATGGATTTCGTCCACTAAGCTAGCACATAGCACACCAACACAAATTGTAATAAAAAGGTAATATTGTTTACGACAATAAAACGCCAATATTCTATTGGACAAATTCTAATATAATTGTGTTTTCTTTTATTTGGGTATTTATTTTCATATTCCCCATTTAAACACTATAGGCTAAACGGTTCTTCTATAGATTGTTGCATAATCAGGATATAGAATAACTGAAATGCCTATTAAAATCGTATGATCAAATCAACTATTTAAATAAAATATAAAAATTGTTTGCAGCACACTCACAACTTCCATCGCCCCTACACATAACACCTCTCTGCATTCTATCCCAATTGACATATATTTTGCCTCTTATCCTCTTTACCAGATACAGCAAACATTGAAATATAATTTGCCTTATCTGCTACATGACGACCATTCATTCATTCGCTCATACGCTTCCTATGATCTTTCTTTTCAACCATCATGCCCTCCATAGACCTCCATTGCTCTGTTTGCTGCTATCAGAAAACCTTTTTTCAATTTCCCTATTGAATTAAAATGTTTTACCAACACCACCTGCAAAGTGCGTCGCTACATCATGTGTGTGTGTGTGTGAGTTTCGCAAAAAAAGTTCAGATTGAACTTATGCTGGCAAAGAGACAGAAAAAAGGAAAAATAAGTTGTTGTTTTTCGGAAAGCGACTTTATACTGTTTTACTCTTAACCCATGAGGGATTAGCCTTCAATCATCTGTTTTTCCAAGTTTGTTTTCCAGTGCGTTCTGTTCATCTCGTTTTGTTTGAACTGCTGTTTTTGTACTTGTTTCCTTAAGAAGCTTAAAGTTTGTATTATCGCACATCAGTGCATGGTCTGTCTGAATATGATAGGGAAGGCGTGTGAGTAAAATAAGGTATTTAAAATTTAAAATACCTTATTTTAAAATTTTAAAATTTTTATGGAATAGATATAAAAGTTTTTTGATTGATTAGCATTAATTTCTTTAATAAAAAATCGATTTTTAACGGGAATTGTACAGATGAAGATCTATTTTTTAATGAATAGAAGAAGTTCTTTTGGTCCTATACAAATAAAAGATCATCAATATAACGAAATATCGGTCTTGTATGGATTACCTATGGAAAGATAAAATTCCGCACATATGAATTTTAAGATATCTTATATTGACAATTTCATTCAAATATAGACCAGTAAGGAAAGTAGTAAATTCGGACTGGGCCGACTATATGATACCCTTCACCACTTTGGGTATATTGTACATATGTATCCTAACAACTGCATGTCTATGTTCCCTCTTTCTAAAACCTATCCTAACATTCGAGCAGATTTAGCGCCACCTGCGTAACATGGGGAAAATTTATGGAAAACGACTGTTCATCTCAATATGGAAAACGACTAATAGCAAAATTGATACACGTTATTCGGTACGCCGCGTTGTTAAAAATATATTCTATATGTTAGAGCTATATCTAAATCTGAACCGATTTTCACGAAAATTACCACACATCTTTCTAGACTTAATTCAGTACGCTATGCCAAATTTTTTGCAAATCGAAGGATATATATAGGGACCTTGGTACACCATTTACATAAAATCGGAGGAACATATATATGGGAGCTATATCGAAATCTCGGCCGATTTTCCCGAAACACACCACTCATCATTCTAGACTCAATTTAGTACGCTACGCCAAATTTTGTGCAACTCGAAGCATATAAAGGGACTTTGGTGCACTATCTACCTAAAATCGGACGAAAATATATATGGGAGCTATATCTAACTCTGAACCGATTTTCACAAAATTTAACACACATCGTTCTAGACTTAATTCAGTACGCTATGCCAAATTTCGTGCAAATCGAAAGATATATAGGGTCTTTGGTATCCATTTACCTTAAATCGGACGAACATATATATGGGAGCTACATCAAAATCTGAACCGATTTTCACGAAACTTTGCACACATCATTCTAGACCTAATTCATTACGCTGTACCAAATTTCGTGCAAATCGAAAGATATATAGGGACCGTTTATATTAAATCCGACGAAAATATATATGGGTTCAATTTCAATAGGGTTCGTCCTTGGGCCAAATAAGTGACCTATGCCAAATTTCATCCAATTCGGATTATAAATGCGACCTGTACTTTGTTTACAATTTAACATCGACAGACAGACGAACGGACGATCGGACGGACGGACATGCATAAATCGACTCAGAAAGTGATTCTATGCATATTCTCAAAAGGAACCATGCGTCTATCTCGTTTCCTTTTGCCTGTTACAAACATATGCACAAATACCCTGTACCACAGTGTGATGAAGGTTATAAATACAATATGTAGGACCTATCATTGACGCTCTACAGATAGATGCTATTTATGTGACATATCTCTGGACCGCTACGGGGTCATTACCGATCCGTTTTCATATCCCATGCGCATGATTGTGACTCGGCTAATTTGTGTGGTATGGATGTGCTTCAGTGCCATCAGCTGTCCGGCTATAATGTGATGGCGGACAGCTCGTGATGGGTAGATGCCAGCCTATAAGTGTACCTTTACGGAATATTTGGGTTATATGGTGTTCTCCTCGAATACCTTATTTTAAATACGGTGATTTCTATGATTTTTTTCACCTTCCTCCTTTATCATTTCCTGCTCATCCCACATTCCACCTTCAGCACTAAAAATACAAAAAAATTCTATTTAAAAAGTATTTCTATCGAAAATTCAATTTCCATTCGATTTGTGTCTTTCAAGGAGACATTTTTCAATTTCCGACATTAATTTGTCGATAACTTGTCGATGTTGGTGGTGGTGGTGGCAATCGAATCAATGCTGCTGCTGCAACTTTTCATGGTGAATATTAAAAATAAGTTTTCTTTTCAAATTGGATTATGTTTCCGGCAGTTAGTTTTCCCTTTCCAATGACATAGTGAGAAAATAGGAAAAGGACACACACTCAAACAAGTTTCTAACAAATAAATGCGTCAGCAAAAATTGTGTCTTATTTTTAAGAGAAGACTAAGTATGGATAATAATGCAGCAATGGGAATCAAAAAGTTATGATAGGAAGAAGAAGAGAAGCGAAAAGTAATGCATCAAAGTAACTATGGCAAGAAGAGATTTGTGAAAGTTTAGAATCGAAAATATTTTATGGTTTAAGGTTGGGTTCCAATAGGATGGGGAAATATTTAATCCTTCAGAAATAAAAAAAGAAAAAAAAAAGAAAAAAAACAAAAAAACGCTTATTTTTGATTTTTAATTTTTTTGTCTCATTTCAGATTATACCTATAAACATGAAACCAACAACAATGCATCCAGCCAGACTTCCGAATTTGCATCCAATTGGCTATACAAATAATAGCCTGCATTAAAATTTACTGAGAAAAATTCCACAACCAATCAGAGGCAACAACGACCGAACAAGTCGACACAGACACATAGCAAACCCCGAGATCAAGAGTGAGAACCACGAAAACAAAATTTCGTCTTTTACATAAATGACAAATGATAATGAATAATGCAATCGGTAACATTGGAAACGTTACAACAACACACTACAACAGCATCGCCAGTGCCGTCAACAGTTCCGTACCCTATTGGGAATATGCCGCCCTGTTACAACCATTGGCCGCGTCCATACCGAGAGCCTTTAACACAATGGAACAGGCACACACTTCCGAGCACAAATCGGACGCTGGCACAAAACACGAACAACAACAACCGCACATGTCTGCACAATATTACCCCTCATCCGGAGCAGCAGCAGCAGCAACATTATCCCATACACCCGCCTTTACACGAAATGACAATCACAACAACACCGCCGCAATCGGTTCTTCTGCGCCAATTACCCCATCACCCCCCTTCTACTCCAGCTACAATATTTCCGATGACCTGTTCTACTATTTCAATGGCTTCGTGGAACACGGCGACGCCATCTCATCAACCATATCAAGCACCGCACCAACCATCACGGCGGAATCATTCGCCACAACACCTGCGGATCCCTTCAACAGCACCAGCATACCTCAAGAACCGGATTTGTCGGAATTTCTCACATCTCTATCCAATGATCGTGTCAGCCTGCTATCGTTTCTCTTCCTCTTCTCCTTCGCCACTGTCTTTGGCAACTCACTGGTCATACTGGCCGTCATAAGAGAGCGTTACCTGCACACGGCCACCAATTATTTTATCACCAGTCTGGCGGTGGCTGACTGTTTGGTCGGTTTGGTTGTGATGCCTTTTTCGGCACTGTACGAGGTCCTGGAGAATACGTGGTTCTTCGGTACCGATTGGTGTGATATCTGGAGGTCACTCGATGTGCTCTTCAGCACGGCTTCCATTCTCAATCTATGTGTCATATCACTGGACCGCTACTGGGCCATAACAGATCCGTTTTCATATCCCATGCGTATGACTGTGAAGCGGGCCGCATCGCTAATCTGTGCGGTATGGGTGTGCTCCAGTGCCATCAGTTTTCCGGCTATACTGTGGTGGCGGGCAGCCCGTGATGGTGAGATGCCAGCCTACAAGTGTACCTTTACGGAACACTTGGGCTATTTGGTGTTCTCCTCGACTATCTCATTTTACCTGCCGCTCCTCGTGATGGTATTTACATATTGCCGCATTTATCGAGCGGCAGTGATACAGACGCGTTCACTGAAGATCGGCACGAAACAGGTGCTAATGGCCTCCGGTGAATTGCAGTTGACGTTGCGTATACATCGCGGCGGTACCACACGAGAACCATCCACCAGCTCTCACCATCAGGCGCTGCACGGTTCACTGGGCGGCGGTCCCAGTGGTGGCTCTCAACATCATCCGCATGTCCATCATCATCATCGCACATCGCATCATAATCACAGTAATGCGGGCACCACCACATCTACGCCGGAAGAGCCAGATGATGAACCGCTATCGGCATTGCACAACAATGGTTTGGCTCGGCATCGCCATATGGGCGGAAAGAATTTCTCATGGTCAAGGAAATTGGCCAAATTCGCCAAGGAGAAAAAAGCGGCGAAAACGTTGGGAATAGTAATGGGTGTCTTCATCGTTTGTTGGCTGCCATTTTTCGTAGTAAATCTATTATCGGGATTTTGCATGGAATGCATAGAACACGAGGAGACTGTATCGGCCGTGGTAACATGGTTGGGTTGGTTTAATTCTGGCATGAATCCGGTTATTTATGCGTGTTGGAGTCGAGATTTTCGGAGGTGAGTAGAATCAAATTTTATTTGGAGTTTTTTTTAATTCAAATCTTCTGGCACCCGTTATGGAATTTTAATGTGGATTCCTTTGAAAGGGCACATTAAACGTTCTCGAGAAGACTTTTATGATTATTTTATACAAATATACTCTTCTAGTCTATCACTTCGATTTCAAATCTTCAGGAACATATTTACCATCCTCGAAATGACTTTTTGGTCTTTTATGAGGGCGTTTCTGCTTTTCTGGTTCCTCTAGTCTTCCAGAAGAATTTCGGGTTTCGATCTATAAAAGTATATTTGGTATTCTATATGGCGAACTTTGGACTTCTATACAAGAAGATCTTTTTTCCGGTCTCTCTTTCTATACGACCATCAAGTCTTCTATAGGAGAATCTTCTTCTTTTCTTGACGAAAACGCTCTGGTTCTGGTTCTGTAATAGAAGACTTCCTTTCCAAACTCCTCTATTCAGAACATTTGTTTTTCTATAATGCATTCAGGTATTCCTTCTGCTCTTTCATAAGAATACATCCTGACATCCTTAAAAATAACATATTTGAGTATTGCATACGAAGACCATCCCATAGAAGACCAGCATATCCTAGATCTACCATGAGATATAAGACCTTCTGGCATTCTATAAGGGGTCATTCCGGACATCAACAAGAAGTCATCCTAGACCTGTACAAAAATCCCTCGGATGACTTCTTATAGAACTCTAGGGAGATTTATTTTATATTCTTCAATTAGATGACTTTCCAATGATCTATAGGAGAAGCTTCTGGTCTTCTATAAGAAGACCTTGTGACCTTCAAGTCAAAAACTTTCTGTCCTTCTATGAGAAGTAATCCTAGAAGTATAGTCTCAGAGGATTTCTTTAATATTCTTCAAAAAGATTACCTTATGGTCCTCTATAAGAGGAGCTACTAGTCTTGTTACGAAGACCTTGTGACCTTCAATTAGATGACCTTCTGTCCTTCTTATATGAGAAGACTTTGTGGCCTTCTATGGGAAGATCTTCTAGCCTTCTATGGGTAGACCTTTTAGCCTACTACGAGAAAACCTTCAGGCCATCTATAAGAAGTCTTTCAGGTGTTCAAAGAGAAGTCCATCTGGACTTCTATGAGAAGTCCTATTAGGCTTCTATGAGAAGTCCTATTAGGCTTCTATGAGAAATACCTCCGGATTCTACAAGAAGACATTCATATATTATATGAGAAGTGTTCCAGGCCTTTTAAAGAAGACCTTCAGGTTTTCGACAAGAAGTCTTTTTGGTCTTCAATATGATGACGTTCTGTTCTTCTGACCTAAAGATGAATTTCTGACCTTCTATGAGAATAATTTTTGACCTTCTATGAGGAGACCGTCTAGCCTTCTATGAGAATAATGTATTTCATTCTATGAGAAGACTTTCTAGAGTTCTATAAGAACAATTTCAGGTCTTCTATAAGAAAACGGCCAGTCCTTCTGGTATTCTTTGAGAAGTCTTTGTGGACTTCAATGATAAGACGATCTAATCCTCTACACGAATACAATCCAGTCTTCCATTATCTTGAGAAGATCTTCTGGCCTACTATGAGGAGACCGTCTGGCCTACTATGAGAAGACCTTTAATGCTTCTATGTGAAATCTTTCTGTATTCTATGAGAAGACTTCCCGGTCTTTTATAAGAAGGCCTTCAGGGCTACGACAAGAAGACTTTCTGGTCTTTTACAAGAAGGCCTTCGTGGTTTCGACAAGAAAACTTTCTGGTCTTCTACAAGATGATGTTCTGATCTTCTATAAAAAGACCTTCTTTGAAGACCATCTAACCTTCTATGAGAAGAACTTCAGGTTTTGTATGAGGAGAATGTCTAGTCTCCTGTGAGAAAGCCTTCAGGTGTTTTATTGGAAGAAATTTTGTCTTCTAAGATAAGTACTTCTGGTGTCCTATGAGAAGTCCTTCTCTGAGTCATCCTTGTGGACATCTATGTGTTTTCTATGAGAAGACGTAATGGCAAAGACCCATTTATCTTCTACGTGAAGATGAACTGGTCTTCAATGAGAAGTCCTTCTAGTATCCCAATTTGTTTCGTTGTGATTATACGTCTTATGTCTGATGTGCCCTCAATTAACTTCTCTCACCAGTCTATATCGATATTAGCCACCGCTGAAACTAAGATGATGTTATTATCCTAGGATTTAAGTCCATGACCGACAATGTGCAAGTCCGACGATGGCATAAAGGTGCCCTGCAACAACTGTGTATGTGATTTTTTTAGCTTTCTATATCTTTTTTTATCACTCTATACCAGTGATATAACATTTCGTAAATATCACATCCCTTGCCCTTGTTGACCATCAATCATTGTATAACATTGACTTCATATGTTCTCCTGCAGCTGACATTCAATCACATTCAAAATATGTTTGATTAAATTAAATGAAATCTGGCATACATCTGTATTCAATTTTGTCATAACATTTCCATTTACTCAATCATATTATATTTAATAAACTGAAAATACAGGGAGAATAAAGTAATTTCATTTTTCTGCAATGATATTTTTTATAGCCATTGGCAAAGGCGAACATAGCTTGCTATTTAACTTGCCACGATTTCCCTTTCAAAGCACATGCCCCCACACAGTTCCATTTTGAAAAACCATAATCATAATGTTACAATTAGCTTGCACAGCCACATCAAAACGTTTAAATGTTATTGCAGAGCAGGAAATGTGGTCAACACTTGTGTTTCCTCCCCTATATGCTTGCATATTTTTGGTCCGTGTGGCAATTTTTTCCTACATTATATATCGTAGTCCATCCCTCCCCTTAGCAAGTGCTGTATAAAATAATTGGCATAAAATGGTCCTTGCTGCCACAATTTGTTGTGGGTTGAAAAAATTAAGATGGCTCGGATAGAGGGGGCGCAGTTGCAAACATTAAAATTCGAATACCCCCCAAAGCAAAGCATTCCATTAGACAACACATTTCAAAATTATGCAAATATGCCAAACCAAAGAGAGGTTGTTGGTTGATAGTCCCCCAGCAATACTTCTTCTCCAGCAAACGAAACAAATGAGCTAGACACCAACGATGTTGCGTAAAAGAACATTTCCAACCACAGCATCAGTCTGATGGCAACAATATTTTTTCATGACAGCGATTACCAAAAAACAAAACAGACCACTAAAACCATAAAACAGCTAACAAAAATGTGTGGGGCTCAAAAAGAGAGAAAACATTGCTGCCACATTGACAAATGATAAGAAATAATGAGAATGGAAATTTGTCAATAGAACATTTTTTTGCAAATTTCTTTCTTATAGCCCTGGATGGGAAAGTTTGTACTTTTAGATAATTTCGAAATTGATATTCCTTTGGTGAAAAGGTTGCAAATAACATAGAAATATAACACCACAGAAGTTGAAAGCATGACGAGAACTATCAATATAGATACATACGATACTCTTTTTTAGGCCCATCGTTATATTTTTATGTTCTACACGACATTCTGGTGCAGTATATTGGAGTACTTATGATTACATTTATAATCACTTTTTGAGACGATTATGATTTCTATAAAGATTTTGTAGGGTGTAGGACCAGAAAAATCGTCCAGCGTTTCATCGGAAAATGTATCCTTTAACATATGTGTTAACAAATCAGTTATAGTTTATAAGTACGTCTGTAATATTTCATTCCTTATTGGGCCCACATTAAGGACCTATCATAGGTATATACATCTCAATATTTTGTGAGGGACTGGATTGGTAATCGAAAGATATATAGGGACTTTGGTACACCATTCACATAAAATCGGACAAAACTATATATAGGAGATATATCAAAATTTTAACCGATTTTCACGAAACTTGGCAGACATCATTTTGGACCTAATTCAGAACTCTATGCCAAATTCCATGCAAATTAAAAGTTATATAGGGACTTTTGTGCCCCATAAACTTTAAATCGGACGAAACTATATACGAGAGCTACAGGGTTGCTCATAGTCGACGGACCCATCTGGCAACGCCATAACTTTTGACAGAGATGTCACATCGCTTAATGACATACCGCGTTTGAAGCGTCAGTCCAAGCAGATTTTTACCATGAACCAATACATGCCAAGCGAGCGCTTTGAAATAGTTTAAATTTACATTCAACAGAAGAAGTCAATTGTGAAAACATTAAAAAATGTGAGAAGTGCGCCTTCTGAGAACACCATTAAGCGTTTATACGAAAAATTTTCGACTGGTTAGGCTCTTTCTAATCCGAAGAGGTCATATAAAAGTCGATCAAGGCGATTGGCCGAGAAAACCGCTGCCGTACGAGCCAGTGTTGAGAGGTCCCCAAGAACATCCCAAAAACGCCGTTCTCAGCAGTTGGGCATGGCTCGGTCCACTTTACAACGGATTATTCGCATTGATTTGCATTTGTTCCCGTACAAAATTCAATTGACGCAAAGTATGTTGCCTGCGGACAAGCCTCGTCGATTGGAATGGGCCCAACGAGTCATCGAAATGGCCGAAGATGATGAGCAATTTTGGAACAAAATTATCATGTCCGATGAAGCCCATTTCACATTGAATGGAACCGTAAATAAGCAAAATTGCCGTTTTTACGCCACTGAAAATCCTCAGGAGATTCAAGAAGTGCCACTTCATGACGAAAAAGTCACAGTTTGGTGCGGCGTTAGTGCGAAAACGGTCATTGGGCCGTTTTTCTTCCAAAATGAAAATGGCCATGCTGTTACCATCAATCAGGAGCGTTATCGCGACATGATGACCAATTTTGTGATGCCAATTATTCGTCGAAAGCGTATGGGGCAGTTCTGGTTTCAACAAGACGGCGCTCCACCGCACTCAAGTCGCATAACAATCGATTTTCTGAAGAATTTGTTTCCGGGCCGTTTGATGTCGAAAAGTGGTGATTTGGACTGGCCACCGCGTTCGCCCGATTTGACGCCGCCTGACTTCTTCTTGTGGGGATATTTGAAGTCAAAGGTTTACGTTAACAAGCCAAGAGCTCAAGGACAACATTCGTGAAGAAATAGCCCCTATTCCAGCCGAAATATTGGCAAAAACGATGGAAAATGCAGCAAAAAGGGCACAATACGTCATCAACGCCAGAGGTGGCCATTTGAGAGATATCATATTCAAAAATTGATGTAAACAAATCTACTTGGAACAAATTAAATGATTAACATTGCCAACCGCCAAATTTTTATTTTTTCTTTGATTAAAAAAAAAAAAAAACATGGGTCCGTCGAATATGGGCAACCCTGTATATCTGAATCGATTTTCTTCAATTTCAATAGGGTTCGTCCTTGGGTCAAGTAAGTGAGCTGTGCCAAATTTCATCTAAATCGGGTCATAAATGCGACCTGTACTTTGTTTACAATTTAACATCTACAGACTGACAGACGGACGGAGGAACGGACATGCATAAATCGATTCAGAAAGTGATTCTATGCCTCTTACAAACATATGCACAAATACATAATATTTCAGTGTGTTGAAGGGTAAAAACATAATAAAAAACCGTGAATGGAGCAGTATAGTCGGAGCCGACCATATGATACCCTATACAAAGTCCACGAAAATCTAACTTTCTGTGGTTCTATATTCAGAGCTTGGGCAATATTTCGCGATATTTGCACCCTCTTGACCGACTAGATGTCAAAAAATATTTCTAATATTCAGTAGACGGTGGCTGTAGGGGAGACTGGGGCACCTTCGGCATCGGGGCACCTTCGGCAATCGCGTTTTCGATATGAAGCTCTCACCGTACATCACTAGTTTCGATACATAGGTATCGAATATCGAAATAAATAACTGACACAAAGTTTGGAATTTCTAGCTAATAAGCTTATTTAGATACATAGGTTTTTGTATTTTTATAGATGTTTCTGTAATATTTCAATTCCATTTCGTAAGTATTTCGTGTATAAAATTTTTTAAATTTTTAAGACAATATTATTAAAAAATGGTTAACTACGATGTGTATTATTAAAGAAATATTTAAAAATATAATGTTTTTACAAAACTGATTGAAAAAAATGAAAAAAAAACTATATAAAGTACATTCGGGGTACATTCGGCATTTTAAAGTGGGGCACATTCGGCCATATACAGATTGTGCAATATTATTTCCTTAAAATGTTTTTGAGTTTGTCTTTAAAACTAATCCTTAAATATGGTTCAAAATTGCATATATAAGATCAAACGTGCTTATATTGACGAAAATGCGATAGAAAACCCCTATTTCTGATGGTGTGTGCGACATTGAGATGTAAACGTCCGCCTCTAGAAAATAAAGCCCTATAATTCAAACATTGTGTGGCGTATTAAAACCGAAGGTGCCCCAGTCTCCCCTACTTGTCCAGATTACCTTTACCGTGGGTTATGTTGTGATGTTGGGCTTTTAATTGTAGCCTACAGATCGACTCGAAAAAAACACAAAAAATTAAGTTTTCGGTCCACTTCATCCAAAAATTATAATCTGATCATCACCGAAAATTATAGGCGTTGTCTTCGACCATAACTGGAACCTCATGGAAAATTTCAAAGCGATCAGAGTTATATTTTCGCCCTGTAGTGTGGTAATGGGTTGCTATTTATGTGTAACTCCCACATCCGAGTACATACGACAATATAATTGGTATCAATTTAAATGACAACCACTCCTCTTGGATATTATATTAACTTCTCGGTCCAAATCCTTCCGGACCGGACTACACCATAGAATAGAAATTTTGTAATTTTTTACACAACAATCAGGGTCCATTTAAACCGCTAAATAATGACCGATCTTTATGAAAACAGGCAAGCTTATTCTTTGGCCCAATCCCCTTCTCCATGATTTTTGGGCCATAATTGCGGCCTCTGGAGCGACCAGAAAAACCGACAAAAACTAAGTATTTGGTCCATTTCATCCCCTAAATATTAACCTATCTGTATCATAAACAATAGGGGCCTTCATTGGCCAGAACCAATCCTACATGCACAATTTCGTGAAGATTGGTCCATAAATTTGGCCTGTATCGTGTTTACAAATTATAATGGACAGACGGACGGACACACATGTCTAGATCGACTCAGCTAGTCGAGATATGACGATCGGTGGTCTAGGACCATAATTTCGCGGCGTTACAAACGCGGCGTGAGGCTGCACAAAGCTATAACACCATGACAATATAGTTGTGTAGGGTATAAATACATATATATATATATATATATATATATGTATAACCTATTGCCTGCATACGTGAAATAATTTGACCTTACTAGCAATGGATCAAAACGTAAGGCCATTCTTTGGTACTGTACCTAAATCATCAATTGTCGGTTCGTAGTCGTTCAAATCAAAAGTTGTATCTCATTAACACTAGAAAGCCGAAGGCAGTCATTTTGACCGCTTTCCAATTTCAAGTAAAAAAGCAACTGTGCATTTAATGACACTTTTTTTTAAAATTTGGTGACTTTTTGTATCTCATAGAATTACGTTTATTATAAACAAATCACCAAATTTAAAATAAAAGTGTCATTAAATGTACAGTTGCTTTTGTACTTGAAATTGGAAAGCGGTCAAAATGACCGCCTTCGGCTTTCTAGTGTTAAAATAGAATTTATGTTCGAATTATCATAAGTTTTAAACTGAGACGATTAATAAATTACACACATTCAACTTTTAATTTCTTAGAAAAGTTTATTTAACAATGAATTATTACGAGGCTACATAAATCATGACAACAAGACTAACCTTCGCCTTCCCTTCTGGTAATAATGCTGACCAGCCAACAAACAAAAAAAAACGAACGGCACGTGTTTTCATAATATATCGTTCGTCCGTTCATGCTTGTGGACACCAGGAAATGATATATTAACATATTTGTCCTTGAGCATAAACTAAATTATATTTCTCCTTGACCAAAGTAAAACCCATAAAGAAAATAAAAACTGATTTTCTTTTGCCATGCCTTATCCTTGCTCAGCAAGCACTTGATTTCCACTTGAGTGGATACAAACATACATCGTGGGCAAACAAACACATCAGTTACTGTTAACTGCCACAACAAGAAGAAGAAATAAATTATGAGAAATGATTTCTAATTTTCCTTAACTTACACACACATGCCTACATATAATTTTCTTCCTCTTCTTTAATTGCAGAGCTTTTGTACGAATCCTGTGCGTTTGCTGTCCCAGAAAAATCCGAAGAAAATACCAGCCGACTATGCGTTCAAAGTCACAGGTAAGTGAAAACATTTTAATAACAATTTCATGTTGCTTTCACTTTTATTATTCGGTGTTACCACCAGGAAAATAACGTGGATGCTGCATACTGGCGTTTTTTTTTTTCTTTCTATGTGTCTTACCTCAAATGTTATCCTTCCAAATAATGATAATCGTAATGATGATGCTGCTGCTGCTTCGTTGTGGCTTCATTTCTTGTCCGTCCTGTTATATTTCACTTATTCATGTTCTTAGTTTTTAATGTTAATGGTTTTATTACTGCTTTCGGCCGATGTGATGGGGGAAAGCGACTTAGGGAAAGCTAAACTTGACCTTATTGTGTGTCTATGACCTGACCCCACTAACACATTTTAATTAATAAATCTTTATCTGCCTGTATAATTTATTTACCTTATTTTGTTTCTTTTCTGTTGCTGTAAATATTTACCTGTTTTAGTACCAGTTTATAAATTATGAGCACATTTTTTGTCGGACCCAATTCAATTTCCGTTTCCTTCCTTTAATTTTTATGGTATAATCTTTTTTTTGGTAATTTTTTATCCCCTTTACTATAGGGAGGAATGCATATTAAATTTGTTGTTACGTCTGCAACACTTGGAAGCTGTAATAGACGCACATTTGTTAAAAAAAATTTGTTCTCAACATATAAAAGGCGCGGATTTTTTATGAATATTTTTTCCGGCCCTATATAAGGCATGGATTTATTGAAGAATATTTTTTCCGAGCCTACACAAGACGTGGATTTATTGACGTATATTTTTTCCGAGTCTACACAAGGCGTGGATTTATTTACGAATCTTTTTTCCGAACCCACGCAAGGCGTGGATTTATTGACGAATATTTTTTCCGAGCCTACACAAGGCGTGGATTTATTGAGGAATATTTTCTCCGAGTCTACTCAAGGCGTGGATTTATTGACGAATATTTTTTCCGAGCCTACACAAGGCGTGGATTTATTGACGAATATTTTTTCCGAGTCTACTCAAGGCGTGGATTTATTGACGAATATTTTTTCCGAGCATAGTCTATCCTTCTTCGATTTGCACGAAATTTGGCATAGCATTCTGAATTAAGCCTAGATCGATGTGTGTTAAATTTCGTGAAAATCGGTTCAGATTTAGATATATGTCCCATATATATTTTCGTCCGATTTTAGGTAAATGGTGCACCAAAGTCCCAATATATCCTTCGATTTGCACGAAATTTGGCATAGCGTAATGAATTGAGTATATAATAATGTGTGGTAAGTTTCATGAAAATCTGTTCAGATTTAGATATAGCTCCCATATATTTTCGTCTGATTTTATGTAAATGGTGCACCAAAGACCCTATATATTCTTCGATTTGCACGAAATTCGGTGTAACATACTGAATTAGGTCTATAAAGATGTGTCTTCAATTTCGTGAACATCGGTTCAGATTTGGATATAGCTCCCATTTACATTTTCGTCCGATTTAAGGTAAATGGTGCACCAAAGTCCCTATATATCCTTCGATTTGCACGAAATTTGGCATAGCGTAATGAATTGACTCTAGAATGGTGTGTGGTAAGTTTCGTGAAAATCGGTTCAGATTTAGATATAGCTCCCATATATATTTTCGTCCGATTTTATGTAAATGGTGCACCAAAGACCCTATATATTCTTCGATTTGCACGAAATTTAGCATAGCGTACTCAATTAAGTCTAGAATGACCTGTGCTAAGCTTCGTTAAAATCGGTTCATAGCTCCCTATATATATATAGCTCCCATATGTAGTTTCACCCGATTTTAGGTAAATGGCCAAAGGCCAAAGTCCCTGAAAATCTTTTGACTTGCACGATTTTTTGGCATAGCGTACTAAATTAAGTCTAGAATAATGTGTGCAGAGTTTCGTGAAAATCGGTTCAGATTTAGATATAGCTCCCATATATATTCAATCAATGGGCGTTTGATTGAGATTAAATTATAATTAGTGCAGCATACCGAATAGCGTGTGTCAAGTTTGCTTTAAATCGATTTACAAAATTTAGCATAGGTTGCAGAATGATATGTGTAGATATAGATAAAGATCACATATTTAGTTTCGTTCAATTTCATGTCGATGTTCCTTCGAAAAGGCGACGACTTTTAGGATACATATGTAGAATATACCCAAAGTGGTGAAGGGTATCGTAGAGTCGGCCCAGTCCGACTTTACAACTTTCCTTACTGGCTAAAACTGATTTTTGGGTTAAGCTGTAATTTTGGTTGTCTGGCTCTCTCTCAGCCTTTCTTAGTTTTAATTAAATTTACATTTGCTGTATCTGATTAATGAGTTTTTTTGCTCCAATGCCTAAGTTTTGTTTTTTTTTTTTCTTACTTTTTCACTTTCCTCCTTTCTCATTTTCTATGTTTTCGTATTTTTTTGCACAATTTTATTTTAAAGGACTTTTTGAAATGAATATCTCCCCATTTGTTGTTGTTGGTTTTTTGTTTATTTTCTTGGTCAATTTAAAGGTTAAAATCATTGAAAGTGGCATTGTCTTTCCCCACAAAATATTCGTTCGTTGTTGCACTGAAGTATTCAACTTTGTTGAGTGTTTTTGTTGTTTTCTTTGTACTCTCCTCGTCGTCGTAATTCATTTATAAATGTTTTGTTTTTCTTGCTGTTTTTTTATTCCTTCACCTTCGTTGTCCCTTCCATTCTGTTAAAAAATTCGAAAATTCCAATTTAACTTTTGGTCATTTTAAGAGGTTTCGTTATCGCTTAAGTAGAAAACAATTGAAAACGCTTCTTACCTTCGTTGTTAAACAAATAAATCTTCATAATTTTGTTGTAACAACTTTCTTGAGAAAATAATGCAAATGAAAATAATAGAAATAATAATTTAAATGAAGTACTTTTATGTTAAACAAGGACTCTGTAGTTGTTGTTTGAAGGGAAACTTGAAGGTGGTGTAAAGAGAACAATAAATTGAAATTACATAAAACCGATTTTATGATTTTCTTGTTTGTAAATAGTAAACTAAATTGAGTTCAAAGATAGACTAAAATCGGTCCGTTAGGTTAGATACTTCTTCAGATAGACTTACAATTTAAAAAAAGAAAATTGATAAATCCATTTTAGTCCATTTTTTGGACAATATAAAATTTGAATAAATTTGTAGCAATAAACAAACAATCAAACAAAAAAAAAAAAAAACAAAATTTTTCCGGGCCTATGGATTTATTGACGAATATTTTTCCGGCCATATTTATGGCGCGGATTTATTGACGAATATTTTTCCGGCCGTATTTCAGGCTTGGATTTATTGACGAATATTTTTCCGGCCACATTTAAGTCGTGGATTTATTTATGAATATTTTTACTAGCCTACAAAGATGACGTCCCCATCGTCCACCCGTCTGTCTGCCTGCCCTGCTGGTGCGCACCATAACTTTCGGAGGGAGCAACCGATTTCGTCTAAACTTTTCATATCGTAATATTTTTTCCAAACTTAGTTTAAGTTTAAGGATGGGGAATATCGGTCCACTATTTCTGTTACCTTACCACAAAATGGTAAAAATAATTGTATAAAAAAATAATTGTATAATATCATGTGAACGGACTATTCGATTTGAATCAACATTTGCAAGACCTTCTACCCTTACCAAACCTACACCAGGTCCGAAGCCTAGATCTAATCCGATCTAGGTACCTACCTCACAAATGGCCAATATTTTATCAATTTAATTTGAAGCGAATTGAAAAGCCGATGTGATCAACTTTAAACCCGAAACATCTTTGATAAAAACATATATGTTATATAAAGTTAATAACATTATTAACGGCCAATTAACCCATCCCGAACGTAAAATGAAATGTTCACCGAACTCGCCTCTCAATAAGTCAATTGTTACCACAGGTCAAGCAAGTCAAGGTACCTCACCATAGTCAGTTACATTACGACTCGAAGAGTCCGATGACGATATTTGCACCCTCTTGGCTAAGTATAGGTCAGCACATCCTTTTCCTTACCCTGGCTTCATTTCCTAATTATGTTTACCCGGAGTGAAAATTTACCCATGCAATTTGATGGGTAATTAAAAGGTGGATCTATGACCAATATTTCGCGGCGTTACAAACATTAGGGGACACACAAAACTATAAGAATCTTACAACATAGTTGTGTAGGGTATAAAAATATGCTTTTGTCCAAATATCGGTTTCCGATCTCAAATTCATTTGAACCATATCCTTTCTAAGCAATTTTAAGTCGATTTAATACTTTCCCTACATCTGTGGGACTGACTGGTGGAAACAATAATGCTCATAGGGAGTAGTCGATGTGGTTGAAATTCAATATTTCGAAGATAAAAAATTATGTCGAAAATTTTAAGAAATGCAGAATATGACTCCACACTTTCTGAGTCATAATTTTGAAAATTTTGTAACACACATATTAAAGGGAGTATTCACATATTTTTAACAAACTTACATCAGTTTCGATGTAACTCCCCATCATGGATTCTCGATACCAATGATACCGGATTTGCCGAGATAAAACCGCTCGCGGTTTTCATCTTTTTTAATGATCTGCAGATTACAGGGGGAATGAATAGGAAGTTTATAATTGTTTATTGTGTTTGAACTTTGCTCCAGTTATCATTGTTATATAGTGTCTCTCTGATGGCTGCTATCCGTTTATTCTCAGTGATATTGTCTCTGTATGAAAATGTCTGTTGGGGCGATGTGTGACTTCTTGAAATAGGGTTTCAAATGGAACGTTCAAAAAATATTCTAAATTACGAATAAAATAAAAATCTCAAATCCATAACATCCTAAACTCGTCTTGAGCACGTTTAATTGTTCTATTTTCTATATAAATATATAATGTAAATCACAAATATTTTGAGTTTTTAAGATATTGAAACATATAATACGCATTTTCTTCTTAACAGTAGTTAACAATTATATTTCCGAGTCAAAACTTTTTAAATGTTTGTCCCCTGGCAGTTATGTCCTTAAATCTGTTTTTATATCAAAAATTTCTTAAATGTCTATGTCTGCAAATTACAATAACCTTTGCCACCACCCTCGATTGTTTAGAAATAATTATTACTTGCGGGATTTATATTTATTATGTCAATGATCTTAAAACAACTAATTTATATCTTTCTCTTAAAATCCCCTTAACATTTTTCCCGAGTCAATTCTCTCCTTCTTTTACCAACCAGTATTAAATGATTTTTTTTATATATTGAAAAGCCTTTTAAATATTAAAATATTAAACCAAGTCTACAAATTACAGCAATCTTTGATCGACGAAATTGTGATAAATATCTTAGAACAAATAACAATAGTCCACAGTTATATTTCCATTTAAAAAAAAACCATTAGTATTCGTCCAAATCAAATTCTCTTATCCTGTTATTAAGAATCCTTAACTGCCTATCTTACATTCAGAATTCTCTTAAATGTTCAGCAAGTCTGCAAATCACAACACTCTTGACAATATTAATGTTTTATGACAGAATTGTGGTAAATTTTTTAAAGATTTTATACTTCCAAGCTCTATTTCCTAATATATTTTTCCGAACCGAATTCTCTCCTCCTGTTACTAACAATCCTTTTGTGTCATTTTTGTATTTAGAATTCTCTTAAATGTTCACCGAATCTACAAATCACAGCAATTTTTATGTCTCACCCACCACCCACGTTTTGTCCTTTCAAATTAATTGTCTCTGTAACCTCTTCGTGTCTTTTGTCCATTGTCTTCTAACTTCTACAAACAAACAAAAATATTTACACCATCTGGGTGTTGTTCATTGTTGTTCAACCCCACATTGTGACTGCTGTAATCTCCATGAGTGTTCTTTTTTTTTATATGTCGGTGTGATATTTACTTACGATTTTTTGACGAGTTTTTTGATCCTTAACAAAAAATATAATACTTTGCAGAGATTCGCCACGAGACGCTGTTACTCCACATGTTCGCTGCATGGCATCCAACATGTGCGCCATAATTCCTGTGAGCAGACATATATTTAGTAGTAGTGGTGGTGGCGGAGAAGGTGGCGACGACGGTGCGGGCGATATCCCAACAAACGGCCAACAAGACAATGTTGAAACTGATGATAATGATGATGACGACGACGGTGATGTCGCTGCGGATGACGATAATAAACCGCCTCGACTAGTAACGCAGCAATGATGACAATATCCTGCCATTCAAAAGGATGTTTACAACCATTGTCTCGAGATACATATCAAACGAACACCCACACAGACATGCGAACAAAACAAACTAAAGTGCAGATTATAATGACTGTCAAGCAGATAAGGCAATTGGTATGAACACACAACAACAACAACAAAAGTGATACAGAAACAGCTTGGTGAAACGATAGTAAAGGTGAATGCAAATGTAAATGTACTTGAGAAAATTGTCAACACAAAAAAAACAAAACTCAACAACAACAAATCTCACTTAAAACTAAGTGAAAATACATGCTGGAATAGATAACTAAGATTGTTGCACTGCATAACTTATTTTCATCCTTCATCCATCCTTGACTGTAATTTTATTACCTCGGAGAAAAATAAATTGTCCAGCTACAAAACGCGATGCAGCCGTGATTTTCAACTGTGAAAAATAAAGTTATAACAATTTCAGTAATAACTTAGAATGAATGAACGAGAGAGTGTGTGGGTGAGCAGCGTTCTTGTGTTGTTCTACTTAAAGTTCCGCCAAGTTCCGCAACAACAACACATTTTTAAACCAATGGTCGTAGAAAGAAATAACATTTGTTTGTTCTTCTCTTTTCCATTTTCTATCCATGAACGTGAGAGAGAGGTATGTATCCACAATATTTGCATAACATGCACCACCAACACCTCTACACCTCTCAATCATGTCGTCCATCATAGTTGATGTGTTCTTGTTATATTCATGTTGTTGTCGTTGTGTTTCTTGCACTTGTTGTTAGTGTAAAGCGTTGAAGTTAAATAATAAATAAAATGTAGCTGCAACTCGACTACACATTGTTGCTGCACCATAATAGTGTTAAATATTTAAATATTGTCTGAAAAATACATATTTTCACAATTCCGAACTTCAACCAGTATAACTGCCATAATTCTTTAATTATGAAACCTTATAAAAACTACTCCTAATGTAGGATAGTGGTGTGTATATAAAAAGCATGAGGAGGCTTTCTATAGAACATAAACTATATATAAAAAGTAAAAAACGTCATTAGGTTCGCCTGGTCTAAATATCATTTTACTTTCAAGATGGGAAACAAAAAAAAACCTAAAAACCTCGTTAAATTCGATCGGACCAAACTTGTTATACCTTCCACCATGATGTTGAAATTCACAATAGCTAAAATCGAACGGAGCATTTATATGACGTTTAAACTATTACAAACTGCTGTCTGGCGAAAGTGAAATATCAAACTGCAGACACTCAGGTTGGAAAATTGAGTTAAGACCTTGAACATACCTAAAATGACGTGTGACGGTTGAAATCCTCAACGTAATATGAGGTAAAGATGATTCCACACGAACCCGAAATATTAAAGTGCTTGATTTGTATTTTTTGTTATCTAATACCCCGGTAACAAAAAATGCTCTGTGTTGGCCCAAAAGTTTGTAACGTCGAGAAATATTGGTTCTAGACCTTTTAGTATACCGATCGTCACTTGATCTATGTCCGTCTGTCCATTTTAATTTGTAAACACGCCACAGTTATGGACCAAACATCATGAAATCGTGCATTGTTTTTGGTTAATATTTAGGAGAATCGTTTAGTATTTTGGAGAATAAATGGACCAACACATTATTTTTGTCCGTTTTTCTGGTTGTCCTAGAGACCATAGTTGTGACTCGAACATAACTAAATTTTACACGGATAAGAGTTAAATTATTGTCCAAGGAATAAAAATGGTCCATTTTATGAAAATCGGTCATTATTTGCCAAATGGACCATTTTTGATGGACACTTTTGCTTTCTATGGCATATACTTCTGAAGGACAGAGATTGTATAAATTAAGAGTATATCCAAGAGGAGTGCTTTGCATTCCCGTTATGGCAAAGGCGAAGCCTATATTTTTCGGTGGTATGATATTGAGGGGATGAAATGGACTGAAAACTTTATTTGTACATTCCTTGTAGTCCTTCCTGAAGTCACAATTATAAGTCGAATATTCCACATTTTACACGGGAAGGGAATCTGGCCAACCAACTAGATGATCAGTCAATATTTAGCGGATCAAATGAACCAAGCCTTTTTAGAACCCACATAATAACTAAAATGGTTTATCTATAAACCCTATAAAAATGGGTATTTTCTCCTATGAGCAATAGAATAAAAAAGCTAAAAATGGGTTGCGACTTCAATATGGGGACTATCTAAAGTCAACGTTCTGCTTACAGGCTTTCAGCCTTCTAAGAAACCGGAAGAAATATGAATATAGGACGATAAATTATCCGGGGTCTATACAAAGAGCGGACAAATATAACCCCTTTTCAATAACATTAATTTTAAGGGTAATAACTATATATGTTTTAAATTTCATAATCTATCGTGATTTCAAAAGACGAAATCAGCATAATATTACACACTGATACTGATATTTTATAGAGTCTCATATATTATAGGAATTGCAAACATAATGGCAAATTTAATATTCAATTTATCGTACGGTAGATTCCACCATGAATGTTTTATTCTATTACTATTTTTAATCTGTGTAATAGAATAAAAAAAGAGATTTCGGAAAATAGTGCTTATGTGTATGAAGAGCACTAAATGGTAATAAACGATCGGATTATAGCAAATACGTACAGGTCCACATTTAGTTTCATTTAGCACTTTTCGAACACATAAGTACACATTTTTAAGACTACCTCTATACCATCACCACCACTAAATTTAGTACCAGTTACTTCCAAAACCCACTTGGTACTTCTTTCTAACTCTCTGTCAGTGACCCACATTCTAAATTTTAGGTTTGCAGCTCTCTCCGTTACCCAAATCCAAATTTAGTACTTTTTCTATTATATTTACTATTCGTAGACATAAATTTGATTTTCCAAAGTTGTCGCCATAACTCAATACTACTCTGGGTTCAACCAAATCCAAATTTAGTACCATTAAGTACTTTTCATACTCCTAAGCAAGAATTTCTAAAACTACATCAATCCAAAACTCTAACAGTAATCTTAATTCGACCAAAATCCAAATTGTGCCAAATTTAGTACTTTTCGTACTCATAAGTACAAATTTCCAAATGTACCTCATTCCTGCTTTCAAATAGTAATCGAAAGTCCAAATTTAAGAATTCCAGCTCTGTCTGTTCATTAAAAAGCAAATTATACCAGATTTGGTACCATTCTGTACTTTTCGTATTCATATTCCAAACCTGCTTTCATATAGCAATCGTAAGTTCAAATTTAAGAATTTCAGATCTGTATGTTCTCCCAATTGTACCAGATTTAGTACCATTCTGTACTTTTCCTACACTCTCATAGTAACCTAATTGACAACTTTCAGAATTCGACTTCTAACCGTACTCCAATAATAACCTTAAGGGGACCTCCCCATTCTCGGGGTCAAAAATGTTTTTGATATAATTCGAATCTACACTAATTAAAGAATGTCCCTACAAAATTTCAAATGAAAATCTCAAGAACTCTTGAAGATATAGCCGATTTATTGTGTCAGCATCAAGTGAAGGCTGAAGGGCTTCTCAAACTTTAAACGTGTTTTTCTCTAAACATTTTTTTGCGAATGGCGGGCAATGATAACTCAAAAACTAATAACCCAATCGACTTCAAATTTTTACACGTTTCTCTGTGAGTGTATAGCTATCGTATGAACTAGGATAAAGCCAATCGGTGAAGATCTTCCTTATTTTTTAACTTGGGTTTTGGTAAAAAATCGGCGATTTTCCAAAAATATTTTTTCAAAGGTTTACCATTTTGTTAATTTTAGAGCGAAGTCAATAATCCTAGTTCACACGAGAGCCAGACATGTACTCTTTCTAACACCGGTGGAATTTTCGGAATCCGATGTTCCAGTGAGGAGTTATCATGACCGCCATCAAAAATAAGGACTGTTCTTTAATAACAAAAAACAACAACAAAACAATAACAAAATTTTTTTGTAAATTATTTTTCTTCTATTTTAAATCTTCAAGTATATATGTGTAAAGTTACAAACCTTAACAAGCATTGGTTTTGATTGACCAGCCCATTGAAAATCTTGAAAAAATAAAATCGCGAATGGGGGGGGGGGGGTGGTTCCCTTAAGTGCACATTTAAGGATCCCAGCTCTATCCGTGCACCTGTATAAAATTTAGTATCATTTATTACTTTTCGTAGACGTTAGTACGAGTTTCTAAAACTCTCAATTTCACACTCCAAAACTATTTTTAATGACAAATTTCAGGATCACAGCCCTATCCGTTCTCTTAGATCCAAATTGTACCATATTTAGTACTTTTCATACTTATGAGCAGGGATGGTCCGTGAGACGAATTTTTAGGTTTTCGACTGTGAAAAAGGTGTAAACGTCGAAAACGTCATATACCTGTATGAAATGTAATAAACGTAGTAAACGTCATTTATATGAATATTATCAGCATATACAGTTATTTACAAGAATATATATTATTTTTACATATATCTGACTATTCCTTACTAGAACTGATAAAATTTTCTAAATTTTTTTGAGAAGAACATTTTGAAATTTTGTAAGGATTTGAGTAAAGCATGCGTAATTCCCAAATTGATTAATGGAAATAGCTATTTTGTCAAAAACCTAATGGATTTAGGTCGGTTTCCGACGTTTCTGACGTATGTATTATACGTCGGAAATGTATGTCATTTACGTCACTGTTTCTGACAGACCATCTCTGCTTATGAGTTCGAATTTCCAACACTGTATTCTAACAGTAATTTTATTTTCAAGTATATGTTTTCCATCTCTATCCTTTTACTCAAATCTAAATTGTACTAAACTAAGTACCATTTAGTACACATA